CCTGGGGTCCGAAGGCCCTCCCAGGGCTGTCCCCAGGCTAAGTGGCCCCGGGGCTGCAGGACTGGACGGGGCCTGGCCCCAGCCTCCCAGCCAGCCCGACCCACCGCCTTCTTGGACTTCTTCTTGGTAGAGCGAGCCTTCTTGGCCTTCTCGATCACAGCGTACAGCGCAAAGCAGAGACGGGCCATGCGTGGCAGGTCGCACACATTGATGTCAAACTCCAGGTGCTGCTTCCACACGGGCTCCGAGCACACGCTCACCTCGGAGCTGGAGACCGTCTTGCACAATGTCTCGTTGCCGTGGAACAGCCCGGCCTGTACCACCAGCTGGTGAAGGTGTGGGCATAGGTGACAGGCGGCTGAGGTCCAGCCCCCTCTCCCCTTCCAAGTTCTCCACCCGCTTAAGGCCAGAATCTCCTCCTGAAATGTTCTCATTCGGGGGCTGGCTGGCTGCCTGAGTGGGACGCGTGGCCACGCAAGGGGGGAGCAGGGGTAAAGGGAAAGGTATGGTGGGCAGTGCGTGGGCAACAGGGCTCAGCTCCCCACCGACTCCGTGGGACCCCAGGGCCTGTCGCTGCCTGCTCTGGCCTCAGTTTCCCTATTGGGGCTCGGAAACTCCAGGGGCCCTTTGAGCTCTGACATGATAGGGCTCCCCCCACTGCTCAGAATCCTATGAGCCCCCTGTGGCTGGAGAAGGATTTAATGCCTCCTCCAACTCTGCCGTGACAGCCCTCACGGCCCAGCCAGAAAGCTGCCTCCATCCAATCCTCTGTGATTCTGCCAGGGCAACCCAGACCTGCCTGTTTGTGGAATTACCCCAACAAAAGTGCTCCCCAAAGAGACCCATCCTCTGTGGACCCAGGCTTCCCGTCCTGCAAATGGGACAATGAAACCTGCACCTCGCAGGCTGTCACAAGGTCTGAGGAGATGGGCGTGTGGCTAGCCCAGAAGTGGGCTTTGACCCCTGGGGGTCCAGCAGGTGTTGCCCCCAGACCCCTGGGAGCCTCAAGGCCCCTGGCCCAGCTGGAGTGGCTCCTCTTCCAACGCCTGTCACCTCCCTGACTGCGGTTTCCACATCCCTGGGCTGGGCCTGGCCCCACAACCTCCAAAGTCAAGTACCCAGAACTCGCTGGGCCCAGTTTCTACGAATCGGCCTCTCTGGCCGCAGGCCTGCTCCCCTCCCCCCTTCCTGTTTTGAAGCAGCTCACAACCACCCCAGGCAGGGATGCTGGGTAATGTGGTCAGGTGGCTTTCATGTGACCCGCCCCCCTCTTCTTCCTCTGCTGCCCCTCCGGGCCACAGCCACCTTGTTTGTGCAAAAAACACCCGCTTCCAAGGCCCAGGAGCTCCTAGCCTACCTTCATCCGCTCGTCGGCATTCACTTTGCTGCCCTGGATCAGCTCGATGCAGAAAGGCTGTTCCAGGGACCACAGGGATGTAGAGGAGGGCTGGGCGGCAGGGGAGAAGCAGGGTCGTTAGAGCAGTTGGAGGCTCTGTGGCTCTTGAGGATAGGGTCAGAGTGTTGCAGGTCTGCAGCAGGGCTTGGGTACCTGCTCCCAACTCCATTTTTACCAGAAAACCTGCCGTGCAGGTGGCCTCGGGGACCCAGCACCTGAGCTCTGCAGGGCATGGAGTTCTGCCTCCAGTTCACAGAGAAGGTGTGTGAGGGGGGCAGCTGAGAGCCAGGCCTGGAGGCAGCCCCGGGGAGTTCAGACAGGCCCCCACCCCAGCACGCCCGTGGTCGGTGGTGTTGGCTGCCCAAGCTCAAGGTCCCAACTCAACACCGACAAGCCAAGGGGCACGTGACGAGGGGCCCCTGGACCCCTGCTGGCCTGGGCCTTGCCCAGTAGGCTGTAAGGTTGGACACAGGTGGGAGGAAGGGGTGGAGAGGGTAAGTGCACGGTGCGGCTCACCTTCTTCATGGGAATGGGGGGCGGTTTGGTGCGTGGTTTTTGGACTTGGGGGGCAGGGTTGCTCTGTTCGTCCCGCATGGCGAGGATGGAGGAGGAATGTACCATGGTCAGGTGTGGGGTCAGCCCGCTGTGCAGGCAGCTGCAGATATACTGAGATGGGGGGTGTGGAAGCACAGTGAGTGGCTGACGACCAGTCCCAACCATTCCCTGAACAACCGGGTACCCAGGGACTCCCCCATGCTGACCACCGCCTACCCCAGGCCTTCCGGGCCTCCCCCGCTGGCTCCTCCTGACCCCGCCCACCTCCTAAAGATGGAGCCCTGCTTGTGCTCATGGTGAGGTCCACCCCAGAAAGGGGACACTCTCACTGTGATCCCCAAAGTCCTGGCTCATAGGGCTCAAGAGGGGCCAAAGAGCCAGCGCCCCAACCCCCACCCAGGCCCCGGCCCAGGCTGTAGGGAACCCAGGAGCCCAGGGCTCCCCAGCCCTCAGCCCTCACCTGGAACTGGCAGAGGGGGTAGCTGCCATACAGGTATTCATGCTTCCCGTTCACCTGCAGGGTGTAGTCCTCGGGCTGCTCCACCAGGGGCTGCCGGAACACCGTGGCCTTCTTCCGGAGGGCGCAGGCCATCAGTGCCAGGGGCACGTCCTTAGTGGACACCTGGAAGGTGAAGCTCTCCTAGGGGAAGGAGGGAGGATCAGCCCTCCGCCCTGTGGAGGGCCCAGGGGTTCCAGGGCGCAGAGGGTGGGGTTGCCTATTTTCCTGTATTAGCTCCTCCTGCCCCCTGAGCTCCATCAGAGCCGTCAGCAGGCTCTGATGAAGGAACATGGCCGACACCCAGGAAATATTTGTTGAATGAATGAACAGGCCAATGACCAAGGCCATCTGGTCATTCCGCCTTGTCGAACTTGCCTGCTGGCATGTTTGGCCAAGCCCCTCACATGCATGGATACCCCACAAATACCATCTGATGCTACTGGGAGGGAGAGTGAATTTAGGGGGCTGGCGGGTGATTGGGGGGGGTCTCACAGGGGCAGCATCCCCCATGGCCACNAGATGGGTCAGGAAGCCAGGGACACTTGGGACAAAGGAGCCAATGGTGAGACAGATGCTAAGCACCAGGGCTGTCCTTCACCCTCATCCTGTGGCCCTATCACCTGCCTTGGCCCTACCTTTGTAAACGAGTCCCTGCTCTTCTTAGAACAGCCATTTTTCCTGAGGTGGCACTATCAGCTTTGGCAGGGGACCCCTCCAAAGGGACAGGGGTCCTAGGCCTGGCACAGGCACAAATGGATGACAGGAAGGCCCCTCACCTCAGGTCCAACCCTTCCTGCTTCCACAGAACGTCCATGAGCTGGATCATCTGCAGAGTCAGCATGTCCTGACGGAGGTCTGCACCGCCAGCCCCCGGAAGGAAAAGCATGAGTTTCCAGGGCGTTCTCAGCTCCCAGCCATGCCCAACCCCCAGAGTACTGGGACGTCACCTAGGCTCGCCCTCCAGAAGTCACTTCCCAGGGTCCCCCGAGGGCAATGTGGCTCCGTGTGGGGAGGCCAAGGCCTTAGCAGGTCCCTCCCAGGGCCCAGCGTGCTCACCGTCCCCGTTCTTAAAGATGATGCCCACGCTGCCATCACTGCCCGCCTCCTCGTTGTTGTACATGACCCACAGCGGCTTCATTTTGGAGTCCATGAAGGTACACTGCTCCACACTGCCGAGCACAGGGCAGTCAGCAGGGGCCCCTCCTCAGGCCTCTGGGGGGGCGCGAGGAGGCCAGAGCTGGGGCTCACCAGACTTCATCCAGCAGGGTGCTGGGGTCAAGCGGGGACTGCAGGTGGGAGAGGGCCTCCAGGTAGGTCTCCTGGCGCATGCACAGGTGCATCAGCTCCTTGGTCTGGGGCTTGGGGCTCTTCTGGGAGCTCACTTTGACAAAGTCGTTCAGGGCCTTCAGCTTGCACAGAGCTTCCCCCTGGGCAGGAGGATGGGAGGGCAGTGTGGGCAGGCAAGCCAGGTGGAGCTGGCTCCAAGCCTCAGGCCAGCCCTGGTGATCCCAAAGGGGCCTGGGCGGCCCTGCCCAGGAGCAGAGCCCAGTCCCAGGTGGAGGCCCGTGGCCTTGAGCCTCACCTGCTTCATCAGCACCTTCATGTGGTGGGTACTGCCCCTGCAGTAGGCCTCCATGATGAGGCCGAAACGCAGGGCCACCGACGGCACGTGCATCTCGGAGCTGGAGAGAGGAAGAAGGGCTGAGCCTGGCCACACAGCCTCTCCCAACCCCGTCAGGGCACCCAGGCCAGCAGGCAAGACGCCTCTCCTCCCCT